TGATGCATAAAAAAGTATCCATTTGAAATAGTGAGAATGTAAAGAATTGCTTTTTATATTACAGGAAAAAATAATATTTGCTAATGATAGCAAATACACCCGCACATATAGTCGCTAAACGGTTCCGGAAATTTTAATTAGTGACTGAAGCGATTTCCACATAAGCTCTTTTATGACGTACATTCAGTTTTTTATTGATTGCCCGAAGGTGAAATATGAAAGTTATTCTCATACAGACATCAGTCTTGACTTTATTTTCTAACTATACCATCTGTATATGATTTTGCTTGAAGGTCAACATTTTAAAATAGATATTTATAGACTTATCATTACAGATTCATTAGATTTGCCCTGTAAACTTTGTTGTCACTTACTTTCAATTGATTATTCGACATGATCAATACTTCTAAATTTTGTAAACTCTTGATATCTTCTGGGATGATAGTTAATTGGTTAGTTGCTAGATTTAGTTCAACTAATGCTGTCCACGAGCCAATATCTGCGAGCAAATAAAACAATGTATTAAGAAAATTTCTATAGAAAACGTCATACCTAATGGTAAAGATGTCAATGCATTTTCTCGCATATTTAATTTTGATAAGTATTTCGCGAGAGAAAAAATTGAAAATGGAATTTTGTCAATTGTATTACATTCCATATTAATTGAATGTACAGATGTAAATTGTGTGGGACCACCCAGTGGAAATGAATTAAAATTGTTGCGTGCTAGTGAGATTGTATTTAAATGAACTAGACTCGATAGAAGTCCTTCCTTTAAAATCACGAAACAGAAAAAGCTCAAGTTTAATCAAACAGAAAACAAAATTGAAATACGAACCGGCAATTGTGAAACGTTATTTCCTTCAATATTAAATTCATCGAGTTTAGAACAATTCGCTAACGATGATGGAATGGTCGAGAGACGATTGTATCTGATCAGCAGTCGACTGAGATTTTTTAGATTTCCTATTAATTCTGGTAGGTCAACCAGTTCATTATGAGTTAAATCTAATGTTGTTAACTGAGCACAACTTCCTAAAATAAAATAGAAGTTAGTATTTTTTTTGTTCTCAGAACAAGGAGTGATTCCGTTGGTGGTTGCTAACTATGGAGAAGATTCAATAGCAAATATGGGAGATTTTCGAGAATCGAAGAGGGGGAGTACAGGGATATATATATATATATGTATTCATGAAATGATAGCATTTCTAAGTGCTCGAGTTGCTGAGAAAGATTAGAAATATTCTGGATGAAACGTTATCGTATTATAATTGACGAAGCGGATATTTGTTCAGAACGTTATGAAGCGGAAGAGAAAACTCATTTTTTAGTAAATGGCCTTACGGTTAATCAGTAAGATAGAAATTCTCATACTTAGTTTTCGGCAATCTTACGCTTTGATCCCATTGAACAGAAAATAAACTATAGACATATTGATCATATTAAAAAAGCTCAATGTGAAACAAAAATTGGAAATTATTTTCGAGAAACACAAACCTATTTCATTTGGTAAATGTTCAAGATGATTATGTGCAACATCAAGTGTTAATAATTGTACAAGTTGACCAACTGTAATAGGCAACGATCGAATACGATTTTCACGTAAACTTAGCATTTGTAAATTCTATAAAAGAATAAAGATCGTTTTTTGTTTTTCCGAGGATTCATTTTATTGCTGACTTACGACTAAATTTCGAATCGTATCTGATACTTCTTTAATTCGATTAAAACGTAAATAAAGTGTGGTGAGACTTGTGATTCTGTAGATAACTTCAGGTATCTAAATAGGAAAAAATCGATGTTTGATTTTCAAAAACAAAAAGATAATGTCTACATTACATCATTAAATCTATTATGTCGTAGATCGAGTACTTTTAATTGAACAAGTCGATCCATTGTATCAGGTAAAGTTGTTAATGAATTTTCACTTAGAGCTAATACTTTTAAATTAACTAAATTGCCGATTTCTGGAGGTAATTGTTGAATGCGATTACTATATAAATATAATTCTCGGACGTGTGTTAGCTATTTACAAAGAAGCAAAAAGTAATAATACTTATTTTGTTTTTTCACAAAAGATTTCTACTTACATCTTTAATGGTATTGGGTAGAATAGTAACACTACTTTTACTTAAATCAAATCGTTCACTTTGTTCATCACGACAATTTTGTATTTCTCGATTAATGTCCTAGGAAACAAAGTACATTATTAAAACTTATTCAATATAGAACAAAAGAGTAACTACTCTATTATATTCATTCGAGTAGTGTCAAACTTGAAACTTGAATTCAGTTGAAAATAGAAAATTTCAACTTTCAACTCGTGGCGATATATGTGTGAGTCACGATTCTTCGGAATGCTATTGGTTTAAAAGTTGAAAATTGAATTCAAGCTTCAAGTTTGACATGTATGATTCATCCATAGGTGGAATATTAATTTTAGCACATTTCGAAAGCAATCTAACGATAGATATCTTAACAGCAGCTTTCATGACAAATAGAACTGTCTATTATCATTGAGAGCTTTGTCTAAATGTCAGCTTACTCTATAACAGTTCGAAAATCTTTTCCATATAGTTACAGACTAAAAAACAGCGTATAGATAAAAGCTCTTTTTTGAGCAATGATTATATCTACAATGTGTATTAATAAAAAAACGATCGATCATATACTTTTCTTTCTTCCTGTTCTACATCATTTAGTGTTGCTTTTGTAATACGACTCATATTGTTCGTCTCGTGATACAAAACATAAAAGATTAATAGCTAATGAATGAGCGAATGTTAGAAAATAATGTACAATAAAAAAAACGAAAGTTTTATGATAGCATACAGATGAAGAAGAATTTAATACTAAAATCTACTATGTGATGAGAAATAGGTCGAGTTCTTTTTTAATGTTTTGCAATTCTATTAGAATTATTTTTGCTATCAATATGTTTAACCTTTTGATGATTGTAGTTTAAAGGATTAACTTACAGTTTGTTTAGCATTCGCAGCAATTTGAGACGTCAACAATTTGAACGGATGAATGTCACGTAACATGGTTTTAAGAAGGAGCAAAAACAACACAAAACCTTTGCCTGTTTTCTTTACTCGAGGAAGAAAAAATAATATTAATATAGATGATCGTCGATTGATTTCTATTTGATATTAGTTTATTATTTAGAGGATATAAACGTACGATGTTAAAACACAGATGGCAAATGACCTCACAGCACACTTAATAGTTGATTACTGCTCGATGGATTGGCACCAGTAACATCAACAACAACAACAGACAGACAGAGGAACAGAATGTTTTGTTCGTTCGGTTTCTCTCTCTCTCTACTTTGCCGACAGACAGACAGATAGATAGAGAAGAAGGCAATTCGAGTACAAGCAGCATTCAATAGGAAAAGCAAAAAGAAATGTCTTTTTCCCCATCGTCGTTCATGAGAGAAGAAGAAAAAGAACAAGGGAAAAAATCCAAGACAGATTTGTGCCTTCTCTGTTTGCGCGACTCTGCTTTTTCTTTGCTCGATGCATCAAAGTCTGATGAAATAGAGCGATGACAGATAGCATATACATGTACGTCACAGAGTTTGCTCTATTATCATTATTTTTGTTGTTGTGTCGGAGCCTATTTCTCGTTCAAAACACGCATGGAGAAATAAAAATAAAAAAGAAGAAAACTTCCATCTAAGCTATACAGGTTTACACGGTGTACAATCTGCTTAGCGGAAGACGAAGAAGAAAATAAGAAAATGACGAAGACATATTCACACCTCATAATAGAAAAGAAAAAGCCTCAAGCTAAATAACTAACAAATTGTACTAGGGACACGTGAGTTTTCTTTTCTCTTTTGTTTTTGGGCTTGTTCATTATTACTAACACATAATAGATAAAGAAAGATTTCTAAATTAACAATCTTGTTGCTATTGTTTTCTCTCTCTCTCTCTCGTTTTTTTTGTCTAACAATTTTTGTATACTTACAACTTCGGCTCGGATACGACCGCCACGCAATTCTTTTTTACTTGCAGATTTGATACCAGCCTAATAGAATTTAAAGCTAGACCTGAAACGAAGTTTTTCTGTTTTTTTTAAATTAAACTTACGAAAGTAACTTGACTGGAAGAACTGGATCCGGGCGATTCTTTATCTTTGGATGGTTTGGGCGGATTCATGATTGATCTATAGAACAAAAATGAAAATGAAAAGCAATGCTGTGACTTGTATCAATCCATAATGTTGAGTTATTAAGAACGAAGGGGATATGCTCGAAGAATCAATGACAACTAAACGATAGATTACTCATCATATCGAACACCCACCTACTACCAGCTGGGCAGACGCAATCCGTCAAAACAAGAGAGGCAAAAAAAACAAAGAATAGAAAAAAGATGTTTTTTTCCTCATATAACTTAGTTTCGTTGTTCGTGAAATAAACAATCTACGGATAGTTACTCGTATACTGTTTAATACCGCTTTTACCAATAGCATATATAAGAATAATAGGGATGATGATAAATGGCAATCAATCAAGTGTATATGTTTATGGCTCGAATAGAAACAAAACCTACTTTCGATAGTCATCAATGACGCTGGTATTAGTACGAGCGTCCAGCTGCTGATAAGCCATCACGACCGTGTGTTTGTGTGTGTTTGTTTTCCTTGTTTAGTATGATTCAAGGAAAATTGCCAACCGTTATGCGCCTGCGTATGTGTCGTTTGATTATACGCTCCTGTCGCCCGGTTCTTTCTGTTGTCGCTGCTACCATGAAACGTTTTTCTTCTCTCAATACATCGTAACAGCGCGCCGTTCTTTCATACACGTAGTATAAACGAAGAAGGGAAATCTTGAAGAACCCTCTTTTTTTCTCCATTTCTCTCTATCGCGTCTTCTTCGTCTTATTCCTATTCTTTTCTCTCTTAGATGTCTAGCACATTGCACCGTTCGGTGTTTAGCCATGATCAACAAAATAAGCAAAAGAAAAGAAAAATAATGATGATGATGATGATGACAAAAATAAAATTAGAATTAAAAGAGAGGGAGAAAATGACGAATAGAAACATATTCGTTATCTTAACTGTAAAAACGAAGAATTCATTTCTTCATTTTTTTCATATTAAGCGTAAAAATAATGGCAACAACTAATAGAAAGAAAACAAAGTAGTTATAGGCAATATTTTATTTTATTTTATTTTATCTTTTATTCTAAATTTTCCTATTCCAGGAATGATGATGAATCAAAAAAGAAAATTTCCTATGCTTATCAAGGTTTGAATTCAATACCTGATCGATTCTTGCCACCTGACAAACACATTATCGAGCATATTGATCTGACAGAAAATAATTTGGATGATCTTCGTTTTCTTATTGATTTTCCGAATTTACGAACGTTAATTGCCGATAAAAATCGAATCGATTCAAACGTTAAAATACCTCATTTCGATATGCTACATACCCTATGGATTAATCATAATCAAATAACAAATTTAAGTGTATTTATTCAAACATTAGTTACTCATTGTCCTCAATTGAAATATTTAAGTATGATGAACAATCCTGCCGCGCCCAGTTTTTTCAATGGCGGCTCCTATCAACAGTATGTTGACTATAGACATTATGTGATCAGTCAGTTGTCACATCTCATTATGCTCGATGATCGGCAAGTGTCACTTGAAGAAAGACAAGAAGCTCAGCGTATCTATAAACCTGTGACGCTTGTACGGCGAGAAAGACATTCACTTAAAAATCAAAAATCAAGTTAACACCGAACTCATCACAAACAAAACAATCCATTACATAAATCTATAGGACAACGGACTGTTGTATACACGTTGGCACATCTTTTTCTTTTTCGTCTTTATTTATGATAAATGAATATCAAATAATGATAATAAAAGAAAACTTTATTATTGCAGCTCGTGACTTTCATTTGTTAAAATTTTTTCTTTGCATACAACAGGTTTCTCATTTAAATTTTTAAATAAATAAAAATAGTTCAATGCAAATAATGCACCTTATCTTCTATCTATATTGCGTATTTAAAAGTCTTTTAATAGTTATATTATCAATTAAAACCAGCTCATAACGTACACTCTCGAATAGGAAAACGTACCACATGATCAGCGTCGGGCAACATGCTTCTATCCCTTTAGCTAAAGCATTCATTTATTTAAAAAAAATTTAATTAATCGATATTTTTAATCTTCACACTAATAATAGTAATCATACACTTTTATTATTATTCGAACTGTCGCTCCTATCAAAAAAATAGGCCGCGCTGTTCTGTCAATATAATTATAGTATATTATCTTTATCTATTTACATACAAAATAAAACGCACACACACACACACGTTTATAATTGTGGCAAGTCATCTGTTTCTATTTCAAGACGATGACTTTTAGTCTCTCTTAACAATTATGTCACGTCTATTGGCATTGTTAAATAATGTCGACGTATAAATAATATGCATATATATATATAAATGTGTATGTATACACCTGGGAACGCATTTATAAATGAACCTCGATAGCAGTTTATAGTAACATACATAACAGTCAGAATAAAAATAAGTTATAACGAAGATATGAGATATTTTTATATCTTGTCTTACAGAACATTTTACGGCGAAGCCTGTTTGTTCCAAGAATATACACACGTCGAGTTTTAAAGTGAAACGAACTGACGATTGTCAAGTGTGGAAAAAGAAAAATAAACAAGGACATACCACAATATAATCTTGTCTATAGAAAATGATAATAAGTTGTAAGTTAATTGTTTGAAAAAAAATAAATGCACGACAACAATGATAAGCCGTCACGGACTAATGAACCAACGAGAAACGAAAGAATAGCCATTATGCCAAAAATATCAATGACGATGACAATGTTAGTGTAGAGAGCATCTTCATTCTCGCTCTTACACTAGAGCGACAGCGTCTTTGCTGTTTTGGTAACACCACGGTGTTTTGTTTCTCGCTGCTGTGCACGTACGCACATATAGGATTGATGCTTACTTGCTTTTTTTCCTTATTTTTTGCCGTTCGTTTCTTTCTTCCTATAGTATTTGCTATAGCTTGCTGTTTCCATTCTTTTTGTCTTTCTTTCTTCTTCTTATGCTCTTCTGCATTTCCTCTCATGAGTACGCTATTCAATGAGAAACACACAATCCCTCGATGGAAACCGAACCCTGGATTTCTTGAAGGATTTTGCTATTTCTCACTCTTTATTTTTCTCTTTTCTATTATTGCATCCGCGTGCAACAACAAAACATAGAGCGAAGAAAAACATCTTTGGATATCTTCTCGGTTTCGTTTACTTCTTTGAAAGTGTTATCATGTACATACTAGCTTTCTATTTCTATCTTCTATGACATATGTATCTCATCGGATTTGATCACTTTCTAAACATAAATGATAGAACAAGTTTTCGATAAACATGAATTATTATTAATAGAGTTTTTAATTAGAATTAAATGTTTTTCTTAATATTGATTATCATTTATAATGACTTAGGGAATGTTCATCGTTCTTGTTTGAGTTATCTCTAAAGAAGAAGATCATAACCTTCAGTAATAAACAGCAATCATCATTGGTGCCTAGAAATCGAGGCATCAGTTTTTAGTCTTCTTCCTTTTTTCTCCAGGCTTGGTGTTGATTCTACCAGACTTACAGACAAAGAACAATACAATATGCTGTATCATGCATGGAAGGACCTTGTAGACGGAAAAAAAGAAAAGAAAACGAGAAACAAAGACAGAGATCCCAATTATCTGCATGTTCTCTATTTGCTTCCTCACTTTTTCTGTCACTTGTCGTAGTCAAGGTCATATCAATATCCTATTAACAAGAACATGGATGACAATCGCCATACAACAAAAATGAAAATCTAATGAACACGATTCAACTCAATCAATACAAACGTACATTTCACGTATGATTGATTGATGTCAACATGTGCAATATACTATTTATGAAGATGAGCGAATAGCGTGACTTTTTCTACTTGTAGTTTTAGATTTATTTCATTAATCACAACATCATTGATAAGAATACTTTTTAACATGTCCAAACTTGATTATTGATACTATTATAAACAATAATAATAGTAACATTATATGATCAATGTAGAAATTTTATAGAGATCATTGTCGAAGAAAAAGAAAGATTTACGGTAAAATCTCTTTTTTTGTAAACACAAACGAGATTTTCCTAAAAAGAAGCGTTTACTATAACGAGTAGGAGTGTAACCAGAGACAAGCTCACCTCCCCTAAATTTGTTTTCTTCTGGTTACGTCCCTAATCGGGGGCTGATGCATGGTGTACCGTAAAACGTAGACAGGCGTCCGATATATGTGTTACAGTTGACATGAAAATTTAGTTGAGATTGGAATAATATATTTAATTACAGACAGAGAAAATAGACAAAAAAGAGAACGAAGAAACGAAAAGAAAAACGAATTTCGAAAATCAAAATTATATGAACGATGTAGAAACTTTGCCTATGAGTTAAATTTAGCGAAGTATTTTCTAATTGATCATTTTTAATTTCTTCTTCAAATCGATGATCAAAACAAAAAAAATTTCATTTATCTCAGCGCGCTCTCATCTCGCTTGTATGAGTCATACAGTAGTTAATGTATCTTGTTGAACTGATACTTTAATATTAAAAGAAAAGAAAGTAATTCGTTGATTACAACAATAATGTTACATCATCAAATAAATACTTATTTATCCGATTTTTACACTTTAAAAATTTAGTAGAATCTATTAATATCTAATTTTTTTGTCATCATTTCTTTATTAATTTAAGTTTTTATAATTGATACTCGTCACTATGAAACAGACAATGATACGAAGTTTCTTTTATATTAGCTTATTTGTTTTTAACGAAGAGCGATTGTAGATAATAACACATCAAATTGACTACTCATATAAGAAACTTCTTGATTAATTTCATTAAAAATTTAAAAAAAACATTTACTTTCCTTCCACATCATTCAAATTAAAAACTCGTTTCGTCCCCATCACAGCTGCTCGAGACCCGTACTTCGAAATAACGATAGCGAAAATATCTTTCTTTTCTTCAAGTATATAAAGAAAAAATCAGTGTCCCGATGTTCCGAGCATTAAAACACGAACATCCATTCAGAGTCTTTGTCGTTTTTCTCTCTTCAATCAGGAAAAAAAGACACAATTAATCTTGGGAACAAAAACTTTCTTTTTTCTAATCGACATACTCAATCAAATTATCTCGTATTACTCACTAGCAAAATTTTATTTCTATGAATCACTTTCTCACAACATTTACAGAATAATCAACGATTTCAATCTCAACTAGATTCTAAACTCTACCGCCACATATGTATTCGAGCCAATTTACGTTGCAATGAAATATTACTATTGTAAATTAACTACACGTTTTCTTATAAAATGCACTCATTTCTTTGCTTCACTCGTACAGTAGTCGAATTATACAAAAAACGTGCTCACTCGTAGTTTATAAGCAAAAAGGGACAGAATAGAAAGAGGTCAAAAAAACATGTTCATATTAAAGTAGTAATGTGAGTCAAAGCGTTCACTGTTCAGAATAACGAGGTGTTAATGTACTTCATTAAACAACTGATGGTTCATTTTTATTCAATATCAACAATTTCAGAGAAAAGCATTTTGATAGAAAACATACTGTTCGGTTAATGTCGACTAAGAATAGACACATATCATCAAAACAAATGGCATCAATCTATGTAATAATCAACTTTCCAGATCTAATTGAAAAGAAAAGATCGATCTAGTGTGTTTTCTCTTTCGATACTGGCGTATTAAAGAATTAATCATTGAAATAAGCCAATGTATAGTATCGTCAGATTTTATTATGGTAAAAAAATTTTTTTTTTATCGATCTAATGTGACTCTAATATGTCGGAATAAAGTAACTAATTGTTTCCAATCATTATTTAATAAAGTTATTAAACGTTGACGTGCTTTATCTGCAGCATCTTCCCAGAGTGAACGAAACTCCATGAATTTTACTTCGAATAATATAATAACAATTGCTGTAACAAGGATTTGAGTATTACCATTTATTTCAGACGACTGAAACATGGCCAAAGGTTTTCCTGTTAAATCATTTATTGTTTTTCTGTTTGCATCGAAATTCCAAAGACCGTCCGATTGTTGTTTATTTATTAAATACTGTACGCGATTTTTATGACCCAATGACCGCAATTCCTTTTTATTTAATAAAGTTAAAGAACCACTTTCGTCAGTCGTGCTCAATGACATACGATTGGATTTAGCATGCTCTTCATAATAACTTTGACATTTATTATGGGTTAATGTACTCAGCTTCGTTAGTGAAGGCTCGTTTGATCTTTCCGCGCATGCTACTTCTGTCTCTTCAAAACGTGGATTTATAGATGTTAGTGAAGAATATTTATTCGCATCGTGCATGTCAGATAAAATGTTTTCAAATTTTGAATTAGCCGACTGAAATTTTTGATTCGTCATTGATATTTGTATTGGTACTTCGCGTAAATTATTACTATTATTCAGATTTTTTTCAATGCCAATAAAAGTTGTGTACGAACTGAGAATGTTATATCGTAAGGATAAATCAATAATACGTTGTTTAGAATTTTCTTTTGTTCGAGTAGATTGATCATCGATATTTTCAAATCGTACTTGCTTGAAATTTCGTCGGGGTATTTTACAATGTTCTAATTCGAGTATCAATGCTTTAGCGGCAAGACGTGCAATCATTTGGGTATTATTTGTTATTCGATCGGCATCGGCTATACCTAAACGATAGTAGCTTTGGTCACTTCGAATTTCAATAGAAGATTTTGAATTTAATTCAATCTTCTGACCATTTGTTAGAGCATAGATGATTAGACGATCATTTAAATAGGCTGGTGCTAATCGATTTGGAACAGTTTCTATAGGAATTCCAAGATTCCATTGAATACGAATATTTGTTATACATTGTTGAATTGCCTTTTCTAATTGTTCCTTAACATAGATGTCGATACGAGTATTCGGTGGAATAAATATACATCGTCCGTTTGTTGTTCGTGCAAGGCCTTTTATAAGCGATCGACTCGGCGATCCACCCAAACCAAATGAAAATATTCGTGTTGATGTTGCCATTGAACGGCATAATTCTAATATTTCGGATACATTTGCCACTTGACCATCCGTTAGAAGAAATACTTGACGAGCACGACCAACTCGAGGTGGATGACGTTCAAGCCATTGTAAAGGTGCAAGCTAAAAATCATTCCGAATCTCAGACTATGTTCTTAAAATAGATTTCACGAGTGTGTCACTCTGGATTAATTTAAAACTAAGATAGCAGCTCAACTTTCTCTGATGTCTGTACGTGCCCAATGAGTATTTTGTGATAATTAAAAAGTAGAGAACTTACTATTTCTGTACCACCTAAGTTTCCTTGAATTTCATTGATAAATTTTTCTGCAATGCGAATATGGACATTATTATAAGGAACAGTCGATTGACTAAAAAGACAATCATAAATTGCGCCAAATTTAATAATATTAAAATAGCAATTTTTCGGAAGATGTTCAATAAAAAATAACATTGCATCACGGGCTAGTCCAATTTTATTTTGATTGATCATTGATCCACTGCAATCCACAATAAAAATAAATTCATTTGTTTGTTGACTATCTACTGTTAAATAGCAATCTTGTTCGAAGGGTGTTACTGCTGCCATAGCAGCATCGGACTCAACAACCATAAATGTATTTGCCCGTACGTCAGAGAGTTGTACATCCAAAATAATGTCACGATCTAAATAGGCATTTGATTGTGTGTATGTAACTATATAAGCATCTTGTAGCGAAAGGTCAATTTCAATGGGATGTGACGGAGAATTTAATCGAGATATATATTGTTGCTGATTTGGTCCATACATTTTTTCGATTCGACATCGAACTTCTATTTGATATGGCAGAGATTGAACGTATTTTGATTTTTTCTTCGGACTATATCGCGCTGCAATTGTTGTTGGAACAACAAAACGAATGATTGATCCTTGAATGAGATCTAATTCTGTAACGTAGGATATAGTTATTATGCATTCTTTCGACGAAGGTAAAACGCCAACATTAATCATAAATGTATCTTGTGATTGTTCATCTTGTTCTAATCGATAAGCACCTTGCGATTGTTCCAAAACATGATTGTATTCGATTTGTAGTTCTCGTTTTTCTTTTAATTGTGCAATTATTTCACGATTGTCAATACGAGCGGTAAATTTATAGATAGCTGCTTGTTCTTCAATAGGAAAAGAATAAATGGTTTCAATGGATTTAGATTCATCGTTTCGAAATATTTGTGTTATGGTAACATCGGCAGCAAATGAACGAATTATTGATTCGATGTTGATTTGTTTCAATGGCACATATTGTAATGAAGATTTTACTGTATTAGCGATTCTTAACATAATTTCTTATTGAATATATAATCAATCCTGTAGTTTGATGTAAAATGGCCTTGTAGATAGTTTTATTGATGTTCGTTATCAGATGAGTCAGAGAACGGTGAGAGAAGGAATCATCGTTACTCCTATAACTATTGGTTGATAGTACGTAATTGTGTACTAACACCGGATGAGTTAAAATGATTTGTATGTCGATTACTTTGTAAATATTTTAGATAAACGGGTTTAATTTTGAAGTTTTCTTTTTTAAAACTATTCGTCGTTTAATTCTATTGAAGAATGTCAACAAAAGACTAAAAATGAAGTACTGTGTCTAATGCTTCATCATTGCATTATCTTAAGATAAAGAACAAATAAATCTACCTAGCGTCAACAATATGTTTGTTTTTCTCTTCTTATTATTATTTCATTAGCATCTATCTATTAGTATCATAATATGAGGATCGGGAAGCTGTTTATTTACAAAACTAATATTTGATCAAAGAAAAGAATTTCTTTTTGTGAGGAATGCTTTATACTGAATAAGACTCGACATATTAGAGAATTCATTGGTTCTGTGATCTTGTGCAATAGAAAATAAAAAACATCAAGACTCGATTTTCAAAAGATAGAATTCATTCAGTTTATTTTCTTTTATTAATTTATTTTATATATAAAAAGAAAACGACACTGTTCATTGTTCTAGTGATTGCTCAGCATTTTCGTTTTAATCCACGATAAATAAGGCACCGTACGAGTATAAACACCTGGAAAACCACGTTTCGAACAGCCATATCCATAAGATGTAATACCACCTATCGACCATACGCCATTGTCTTGATACATTAATGGTCCGCCGCTGTCGCCAGCACTAAAACAAAAATAAAATAAATTTATTCTTGTTTAATTCATAATAGACAAGACTTCACCAAGTATCCTTTGACCAATCTAAAGCTGCAGCACACAATTGTTTCGAACCATCATAATGAACGTCCGTGTAAACTCGGCAATTGCTCGATGGTAAAACATTAATATTAGCTTGTCGAAGTACATTGGAATGAACACGTGCCGTTTCACTAACGGTACCCCAACCAGCAACAGTTACTTTCCTACCTGGCGCGACATTCGATGCTGGCAGACAAATCGGTGATGCATAGTCAGACATTGCTACTGGTCGATCTAGCCGAATAATTGCTATGTCATTTTCAAAAGTACTTGAAATGAAATTTTCATGCGTGCTAATGCGTCGTGCACGATAGATATCCGACGGTTGTGTTGAACGAATATCATGAACGCCAATACGTAGAATGAAAAATGATTCTAACGAAGGATGTGTTGATGACAGCGGAACAAAACGATCATCTATTTTTTGTTCAACACAATGTCCAGCTGTGAGCACATGTGTAGTATCTATTAATGTACCACCGCATACATGTGTTCGATTTTGCCACGTACCTGTTGAGCCACGATATTGGATACCAATGGATACAAGCCAAGGCCAACTATTCGGACGTGCTTCGACTCCATTAATTATTTTTGGAACCATAGCATTTAGTAACGTTAACAAAAGACTTGTACCAACAGACGCTTGAAATGAAGCAGCACGTGGCGCTCGGCCACATATCAATTGTGCAGTTTTCGATGGACTATCAACGAGTGCATTCGTATTGCCGCTTATGAATAAATCTCGTACTTCATCTTTGGTTAAATTTTTAACAATCGGACAACAATAACGAACACTATAATCGTCACAGGTTTTATGTTGAAATTTCGGATCGTAACCATTGAGACAAAAGACATCGTATGATCGTATTATAATCATATCGAGCGTTTGATTCATATCAATGCCAGCTTGATTCACTGCCGAAACTGCATGTGGATCGGAACAGACAAGAGTTGGATGCTGACTTCGTATAGCAGCATGTAATTCATATTCTCCTTTAGGATTTGGTTTATGAAAATTAAACCATGGCGTCCACGATAATGAATTATTTAATTCACATTGCATTTCTTGTCCATGAATTGTTGTGATGGAAAATAATACGAGATGAACGAATAATATTGTTATCATCATTATTCGTTTCTTTTGATTCTTCTTATAAAATGACGATTAAAACAGTAATAAACATCAAGCTCAGATTTATTGGATTAAATAAGATTGATGAGGGGAGTTCGTTAGAAACATACAATAATATTAACCAAAAAAAGGTCATCATCATGTTGTGCGTGTCTGTGTATTTCGAAGGATCATCATATGTTGCTTATGACAAGGACGAACATGAATGCATACCTTTGTATTCTCTATTCAACATAATTTTGTCCTCTGACGATAATCAGAGGGCTTTCCGTTTTAGTAATATGTCTACTGATCTTTTTTTCTTCTTTTTTCGGTCTCTTCATTTACGCAAAAGCAAAATAGAGAAATTCAAGTATTGATAAAAAAAATTGTAATAAAGAAAAAAAAACGAAAATAAATTTTAAGTCAAAATTATCCAAATGAGTGATCATCATTAAAAATTATACTTAAAATTGTCATGATTTTCATAAGAAAAGTATATCAATCCTATAGTAAATATTAACAAAGAAGAAGAAGCGTATGATTAATGTCAACTAAAGTTAAATAATCATTGTAAATGTTTTTGACAATAGCTCTTTGTCGTTTTAGTTTGATTGCATGATTTTATAAAACAAAACGTCCTGATAAAGTTAACGCCTTTATCACACATTTTAATAACTTCCATTGTGAACAATAGATCAATCCCTTTTTTGACAATGATTACGAAAAGGTTCGATAGAAGCAAAACGAGCTTAGTATTAAGTTTTCTTTCTCAAACAAATACGAATGGCTTCGAGCAAATGTCTCGAATTAGGGATTATGTGATAAAAAAACAGTTCACATGGCGCAAACTTTCACGTCTTAAATCGTCTTGAGCTTTGATTAGGCCAAGATTCTTTATCATCATAGATGAGACACTCAACGCATTGGCATGTTTTTTCACGTGATACATAACATTTCGGATTAATATTCCAAATAGCATGAAAGAAATTGATTTTTTTACTTTGTTTTTTATACAAAAAATGAATTTCGCGCAAATGCAAGCGACTAACAAATATATTTAGAGAAGTGGTATTGCTGTGCTATTTCTTTGATGTTTCGTATTCAGATCATTCCAATTCGTAAACTTAATAGAGATTTTGCTGATTTATGTACCATAAGATTTGGTATTTGATAAAACGAAACATTTCACAACGCTCTAGCATGTTGCTACAGTGTAGACTTGTGCGTTGGCTGTATTCAACGTGCACGAATCTATGAATCAATCCAGACGAAACTAATTAGATAACCGTACGATTCATTATGAGTTACCGCAGTTATAAGCAAAAAGGGAATCTATATGAAAGCATTCTCAACCGTTGAGGACACATCAAAAAGTATTATCAGAAATAAAGATTGGCATTCATCTAATTAATATATTAGATATTAATTGAATGCATTACGTAGTCACAGAGGAATGATTATCCTTGAAACTATCTAACAACGGTTATTGTTCAAATTTGGTTCCTAAATTATGATTTTTACTCAAAATTGATAGTTGCTTGTATTCCATTCGACTTGTTTATATTATGTTTTGAATCATTTCAGGTGTCATTTCGCGATACGACCTAACCTATCTACATGCTTTTACGACCTTGAAAATTATGATACAAGAAAAACTATGAAATTTTTTAAATCGACTAAAAAAAAGAACGATCTAATAAAACATCGTTTATTGGTTAGCTCCTAAGCGAATCAATTACCATCTTGTTACTTTCTTTAAAGTTGTATCTCTATCTTTTGCTTTTATTGTTAAATTTGAATCATGGTGTTGCTGTTTTCCTATTTACATTTATTTATTTAATATAGAGCCTGCACAAGTGTCTATATTTTAATTAATCTCACTCAACGCATGAGTGATATTAATGCTGCATGCTTCTTCGTTCATTGTCCGTTTTTATCAAGAATACCATTTTTTATTTGATTAATATAAAAGCTCTCAGTATGTTTTTCTTTCAAATAGTATAAAACTAATGCCAAAGTTCTACTTACGTTTCAGCACGTAACAATAAAGAATGTAAAACAAAGCTAATAGAAATTTCGTTCCAACCGCGAAATACAATTTATCATAGAGAGAAAAAGTTCAACATAAAATATACAAATACGGAAACGTAAAATAACTGAAACAATCAATGTTCTTACATGTAGACGAAAATCAAAATATTTAAGTTAATTTCTAGAATAATCGCATAATCTCGAAATGAACTAAACTATCATTTAGTTTTAGTATAAATAAAACAAATGAACTCAAATCAAATCAAATTTTATTACTAAAAAAAAGATTTAAAAGTCAATAAATCTTTTTGTTTTGTCATTGTGACGTACACTTGAAGCGTACGAACCGAGATATTTAAATGAACCATGATCGTAAGGAGTAATCCAGATGAGAGAAAGACGATATGGGTAGTATCGTTCGTGATCATGTTATTATGTACAAAAAGAAAAATGAATTGCATCTTTATTTCAAGACACAATTTTTGTTTTTGAACATCACAAAAATACAACACAACAAAAAAAATGAATTAGTCATCGAAAACGAGTATGCTTTCAGTTCGTTTAACGACATAATCTATAATTGCTGGAAATTCTTTTAATGTGGCAGCTTGAATGATAGCTGAATTAGCATTGAGAATACATCGGATTAGATTCGAAAAACGCAGAACAGCTTCAGTATGTCCGTATTTATAGAGTAAATATCGCCATGATAAATCGGTGTACGTGTCTTGGATACGAATGATTTCAATCAAATTTTTCATATTGACTGAAGCCGTATTCTCGTAAACGACATAGTTGATTGTTGAAAAGGCAAGTATTGAAAGTGCTAATTTGATAAATGTCATGTCGGAATCAAACAAATCAGAGAGAAATTTTGCAGTAACCATTGCAGGTAAGCCAAAGAGAATGATACCGGATTGAAAGAAACTCGGATAGTCCATTAATTGAGCTTGATATAAAATAAATGTTCCACCAAAACATGACATATGTTTGACTGTGGTGTGAATTAAAGTTGAACGATCTTGCGAACATAACGAAAGGAAGTCACCGTTTTTTTCATAGATCAATTGGCCTTCATGTAAGATTTGTCGAATAAATTCTCCGATCGCCGCACATTTGAAGCGACATTTGAGAGGTAAACTATTTTGTTCGTTGATAAAATGTTGAGCGTACGGAAGTCCACTGTGTTCATCGTAACAATGAATTAAATTCGAAAGAAGATTCCATTGATCGACATTCAATGTCGATACATCTGATTGCAACAGATTCAATGTAGAAAACTAGAAAAATAAGAAAACTCAACTATTATCTATGTTCAATTGTTTCATAGAATTTCCAATGTGTACACAAGTCTCACCTGTTGCGACTGTTCTTTTTTGTCTTGTCTCACTAGGAGAAGTCGTGTTGTCGTCGGTCTATCTCTCTTTCTATTTTTTGTTGATCTCGAACCGCGAATCAATTCCTTTTGCATTCCCATTGCAAAACATTTCTCAAGCCGACAAAAAGAACATATGTGACGATTATAAATAGTGATTTCACAATTATCATTAAAATCACATTTGAGTGTTTCCTGAAAAAAATCAATATTGAGAAAAATAACATGTATTCATTTGAACTCACTCGTTGTTCACCATTGATATTGCGATAAAAGAACATTTTACATGAAGCACATGAAATGACACCATAATTTATATGAACAGCAGAATCACCACAAATTCGACAATTTGACAGAATTCTTTCCAACTTTCGTACAGCAGTCGTAGACTGAGAGGATATAGCACTAGTTGGAACTTCATCAACGATTTCTTCTATCATCAAACTTGAAAAACAACACGTTTCTTCTCTAGTCCAACAAACACGTAACTAACAAAAGAAAGAAGCTCGTCATAATCTATCAGAGGAACACGGATTTTGGACGCGTCAAACGTACACCAATGCGAATGAGAAGAACGAAAAGAAAAAAAACTTTTTCTTTTGTAAAGATAAGCGATGCAGTCAGAGAGGGAAGAAAAGAAAAGAATATGAATATTACATTGCCACGCGCTGATGCTGAAGTGGAAAGAACAAGCATCAGCTAAGCATAAGATGAGAAAAATACGAATGTCCTCAGTGACTGCCTCTTTTCATAGACTAAAAGATTTATCAAGGTTCGTACAGTGTAACATAAAATATTCAGTTTACATCATTGTATAGAGTTCACATTTCACCAATAATTCACTCTCTTTTGGCTTGATTCAGATACGATGATGCCTTAACAAATCTTTGTGTATATAATATAATCAATGTTTTTTTTTATCTGAATAGCTGTTCAAAAAATGAGCTGGCTGAGTTATAAATTTTGCCAAAATATTACAAACTCCTCCAAGTCGATATACAGAAAATGTTATGGCGAAATCGCCTAAAGTAGAATGATTGCTAGAAGTCATATGTTCTCAGTTGGTTCACACAAGGAATGCCAGTTAACATTTAAGGATAAAAAATAAAGAACTTTTTTTAAAGACAAATTAATTCTAAAAAAATGACTTTCCTATTTGAATTTTGTTATAATATGACAAAAATAATCTGTTTTTTTAAAGTCTCATTTTACTTTAAAGTAAAATTAAAATGCTACTTCTAGTTTAAATACAAGTTGCTTAAGAATGAGTTATGAATCTATGAGAATAAATCTCAGTTTTAATACTGAATAGTGAATTTTCTCGAAAAAGCAACTGTGTGTTAGGCTGAAACTTTTCTTATATCTATTTCAATATTTGTGATAGAAATTCGTACTTGCAATTTGTTCCTAGCGCTAGAATTCAGACACACAGGGATCGGACGAAAGCAAACCATCTTAAAACTGCATTTTATAATTCATTGTATTGCAGACGATGGAAATAGAATATTCAAATATTATTCATAATTTGTTAAATTTAAAGATAATTTTTTAATTAATTTAATATTTTTCAAACTTTTTTAATAACATTTGATCTTTTCAGATTTTTCTGTTTCACAGATAATTTTTTATTTCTAAGTTTTCAATTTTTCTTGAATTTACCTATAATATCTCTTTAGAAAAGCTGCGTTACAATTCGGTCATACAATAAAACACATGATCATTCACATCATCAGCCTCCACTGAGTAGAATCTGCTCTGTAACTTTAAGAATGATTATACACGAGTTCTATATTCATTTTTATCTTTATATAGTTCATTACTCATTACCAACCATGTTTTCATGCAAGTTTATTTTGGAACCTAAGTAAATTAAGAAAGAATGGCGATGAAGTAAGGATGTGGGTGTATGAGATGCCTAGTTCGAATTTGAATATAAATGGACACTCAGCAGCATGGTATCAATTCGAAAATATGTGATAGAAATAGATTTTGTTTTATATTTAGTTTAAGATGGAATGGTTGTGGGTTGAGGGGGTAAAGGGGTAACTGTGGGTGGCGTTACGAGTGAGGGGGTGGGTATGAGGGGTACCCGGAATGGGTGCGCGTACCCAGGGTACTTTAAATGTGGTTGTGGGTGATGGATACTATGGAGGAGTGCTCAAATGTGAGTGCGGGTGAAGGGTATATATGTGTTAATATGTCCCATATATCGGAAAGTTAAAATTCTGGCCTCGGATTCGTCCTATACTTCCTATATTTCCTATATTTAAAAAAATTCCTATTTTTTCTCCTATATTTCGATGAATTTTCCTGCATTTCCTATAAAAATGAAAAAAAGGAGAAAATTGCTAAAAAACGCTTTTGTTTTAGTTTTAGTATAATTTTCATGTTTTTTAAACGAATCTATTCGATAATTATTGATTCTTTTGCATTCTTAGAATTTTTTACAGGGGCTATTTTATTTACAATTCCTTTTCACATTATCAAACGGACTAAATGAAAATAACTGACTATTTTAAGTATAGATATTCAAACAAAGTAAAATAGTCTTTATAAATAGTTGTGTGTTTTTTAAAAGCTTTTATTGTTGCCTATCATATGCAGTTACGTAAATGGTTTTGTTCAAGCGTAACACTGTGACCTTTTTTTTGACACACTTTGTTTTTCATTATCTTGGAAATTGTGTGAGTTAGAAAGTTCGTTCAAACGTGATTTGATGCAACTTGTCATGATATGTTTATGCCATAAAATGACTGTTTTTGGATTAAGTCTCTTGCTTATAGAGAGGAGCTTTGGTTGCTTGGCTGTGATATAAAAAGACTCTATTCTTCAGGGCCACTAATAAGCTGCAGTTTCTTCTGCAACTATTTCTCCAAGTGAAACACTTCTCGAGTTAGCTTTGTAGTGCTTTTTGACCAGACTTTAAAACACTAAAATCGTTTTCTCCAAGCTATTTTTGCTTAGATAAAAAATGCAAGAAAACAACGTGACATTTTTAGTAACACTGAGGTACAGTTTTTCTTCACCAATTTTGAAGCACTTAACGTGATCAGAGTTATTTGATTTTTATTAGTAATAGTCTTTTCTTTGTAACTAATCGTTATACACAAAAACGAAATTGATACATTTGTATGCAAGCTCATAAACGGTAAATTGAGTTAGAAAGTGTATAAGAGTTTACATTGTCCTTAGCTACGAAAGTCAAAACAAAATAGGCCAGCTTGTCGAGACTAAAATTCTACAACTAACGATCTGTCAATGATATTTTTTTGAAAACATTTCTTGGTTAAAAAACTCAAAATGCGATCTTTGAAAATTTTCATACTCGGTGTGAGTGTAGGTTGATGTGAGATAAACACCATACAAACCATTACCTACACCCTGCTTTATTTTGTATTAGTTTATTAATATGTAAATAAACATATTTCGATCGAATTTAACTGTGCCTGACTCATTTAATTTAATTTAAGAAAGAATTAAAATGAATATTGACAAAAATTTCGTGCATATGTTAAGTTGATGCAGGAAAAGTTAAAAAAAAACCGTTTAATTCGAATCTAAACAACGAATTTTCAAGATCCGATTTTTTATACCTTTTCCTGTATTTTTAAAAGGTTTGATCCTGTGCTAAGTCCTACATTTTCAAAAACTTGCAATCCGAGGCCAGTGTATGCGTTATGTGCTTTTCTTTATCTTCTTCTAAAACATTGTGAACTTGTGAACAGTTGAAATTTGCTATATTTTTCACCAAAACAATAGCTTTTACATTTTTGTTTTTTTCTTTTAAAAAAAAGAGTGAACTTTTTTAATTTAAGATATGTTTTGTAACTCAATTCTGGAAATAGTTTCCAGGTAGAAATCAATATAAGTATTGGTACCAATCATAATTATAATTAGTCAAGATTCAAACAATGGGATAAGTTGAAAAAGCAACCCAATACTAAACTTACTAAAGTATATTTATTTATATACTTCACGACGCGATTAACGTCATACTACATGTTCGATCTATTAGATTGATTATAAAAAACAAAAGATGTCGCTGCAAAATTACTGAGAAATCAGAAAATGTCGGCCATTTAAGCATGACAAGTCTACATTTTACACCAAATGCAGAAATCCAGCCAGATGATTTTCTTCTCTTTTGTACATTTATCAGATGTATTGATTGATCTCTGATACACAAACTTCACAATCCCTTCAACTATTTGTCGATTCAGTCATAAATAGAGATTGGTCATCGATCTCTTTGTTCCACTGTTTGAATTTTGTATATAAAGATTGTGAACAATTACACAAAGCATAAATACAATGTGTTTTACTTCAATTAAGGTACGTTCTTTATTTCTATTTCGTGTGGCGAACTGATGATCTCTTTTATAGATTTATTAAACTAGTAGGAACATCTGTTATTGTTTTAAAATTTCCATCGAGTAATGGCATATTATAGTCGTCGAGTACTTGGTGATACTACCCGTCAGGAACGATAGATTAATATAATCTATTGAAATGATTTGTTTTTTCTCGGGCGTCTGTAATAATTTACTTTCCTTTTTTTTCTTATTTTAGAATATCGATCCAAAACCATCAAAGGAAGTTCAAGATTTACAGGATGAGTTGAATTTGTCAACTATTGAGTGGATGCAGGCTTTCAAAGATCTTAATGAAAAAGTCGCCAATGCCGAAGAAAATAACAAGAAGCTTGAAGAAAATAACAAGAAGCTTGAAGAAAATAACAAGACGCTTGAAGAAAATAACAAGAAGCTAGAAGAAACGCATTCAACTGACATTAAATTCATTGTATCGTTATTAGTCAATGAAATGATCGAAAACCTTGATGACGAAAAAAATAATGCAAAGCAAAAATATAAATCGGATAGTTTCCATCAACATGGAGCAAAGAAAGCTCGATTTGAATGATATCAAAAGATAGTCCAAAATAATTGTTTTTTGTGTAGCTGTTGAAATAGTTGTTAATTGAAGATGTGCAGTTATTTTTTTTTCTTTGTGAACATATACTAGAATGAAAAATTCAATGCAATGCTAAACTGAAATAAATAAATAAACTTGTTTTCTTTTTCACAAAAACTCAAGAAAAAATACTTTGAATACATGTAGACATCGATAAAACTAGATACAAGATGTTTTGACGTGATTTATATCTGCACTGAATTTTTCAATTCAACTCTATAGAGAACAATGTCGGTTGAGATATTTGATACCCATGTCACAGTGGCGATCTACCAGTCAGGCTACCCGGCGATCGCCACCACCCTGAAGAAATTTTTTTTTCGATTTTCCTCAGCAGAAATGAAACAGAAAATAGTCGTTCTGCCTCAAATAGACTTGAAAAACCGCTTTTTGGCCAGGAGCGTCACCCCCTTACAGATTTTCTGGATCTGCCACTGCCGTGTCACACAGTTCTTGTCACTACCGCCGGTATACCGCGGTACTCATAATAACCGGCGATTGCGCTTGTAAGCTCCGATCCCAGTTAAAAAGTCTTCCAGAAACCGTTTTTTGTTAAACCCCTATTTATTTCGGAAAAAAAATTCGAATTAATCGAAAACAAAACTATTATAGTATATATTTTGAGAATTATTATTTTTACAGCGACATCTTTAATAAAATATTTATCTCATAAATGTGACTGATTTGAGAGGTGTGGCTACGACAGGCGGCTCAGGCACATTGGCATAATCAGAGTGCTCCAAATTCAGCACGATTCTGCCGGTTTTAACAGGCTTAAAAAATATTCAGTCGTTTCTATACAATGCAAAAGGATGCATCACTTTCATGAAAAACCGGTGGTAGAGCGCACATTATACCGAACGGTGAACCGTCGGTTTATCTCCGGTTTTTTCCGGTTTGAATCACATGGGTAATCAATGTGTGCATTGATCTCATGAACTGCCTAATACTAGTTCGAATATTAATGAAGTTCTGAGAGTTTAGATTCACTTCGGAAAAAAAATGAAAAATCTAGCCAGCACCTTCACGGTGTGGAAGTAGACCCTATTGATTCTCTTAAGGTGTAGTACCACTGTTATATCCAAAAATCTCCTGTAAATTGTACTCTTCATACGCGAAAATATAACTACACCCAGGTCGAACGACACGGTCCGTTTACTGGAATCAGTTTTAC